AAGAAGGACTTGCTGCTGATGAACCAAAGTTTTTCTCTGATTTTAGTCATGCAACCACATAGGCGAACCTGATGGGGCTTGCCCCTGGGCAGCTACCGGCTCTGGCTGGTATTTCCCAGGCGGGGGGTGGGGATGGGGGGGGCTCAAGGTTCCTGGCAGCTACAGGCTCTGGATGCACAGGATGCGAAATTAAGTGTCTTCCCTGCCCCCTCGCACCCACCACCGAACACCATGCTAAGTGAGGCTATAAACCCCTTAATTGCGTGGCAGCCACAGGGGTGGATGGAGCCTGGAGATACCCATCTGATGCCCCCTCTGCCTCTGTTCTGGAGCTTCCCTCCTCCTTAGACAGCACCCAGGGCTCATGCTACTGCTACTGCATGGCCACATGACTTTACAACAGGGAATTTAGAGTCAGAGCTTTAGTAAGGCCATTGTGCCGTCATTACCTTGCTCTGGAGGTTTGTTGCATCCCCTTTGCACGTCAGTTAGGGAAATAACAATGTCTGCCTATCCTCTCCTCCAGTTGGCTCTCATGCAGCTTTCTTCTAAAGCCTTCTTGCCCTATACACTGGAAACAAGTATCCTCCACTCTGTTCGAGATCGTAAAGATAGGATTTGCCTGTTCACATACAGGCCATGCAAAGCACTGATGCTATAGTGCAAGCGTGTCTCCAACTTCAGCAGCACCCAAAAGAGGCTGAGATACATCTAGGCCTGCACCACTGAGTTAGTCATTTGAAAAGATGTTCTGACTCCCTGTGCAGCCAAGCAGCAAGCATGCTTTGGTTGGATGAGCTCACATGCAAGAGGTGAGGATTGGCTACTGCTGCTGCCCTATTTAACTGTCCCAGAAGGGGCACCAATTATTGACCCATGATCTGATAAGAGTCACTACTAAACCACTGGGGAGAGCCCAGACTTTCAGATTCCCTTGTTCCCATTAGGCAAAATGTTTTTCATGCAAAATCTCCATCAGCTGCTGTAGTGTAAGAGGGGCTGTCTGGTTGCCTGCACGCCTAAGACCTAACGTGTCTCCCGAACCACAGTATGGAGACAGCTCTTCTACCTAGGCAGTTTTTGGACTTCTGTCATTGTCGGGTCTAGTTAACACTTCAGTCCTCTGTCCCTCTTCTGAGAATGCTGCAAGTATCAGGTAGTACCAGGCAAGGTCCAGTTGATATAGGTTGTAGATGCGACTCATTTCCCCCAGGCCACCACAAAGCTGTTTAGTGCTAGAGGTAGCCCCTGAGCTGCTGCAGGTTTGAACTAGTGATGTTAATGGAGAGCAGTGCGAACTGAATTGGCAAGGAGGAGCTCAGGTCCCTAAATCCAGCCTTTAGATCCACAAAACCACAGCCTGACTTTGGAGGCACCTAGTTTCCAAAAGTACTTTAGCTTCCTTTAGCAAACTCCCTTCAGTGCCTGCATTTCTGCTCCTGGGGATCCCCAGTCCTGCCAGCTCACAGCAATTGGGCACCTATCTTATCTAAGGGCTTGATTCAATAGGAGTGCTCAAAACAGTCCTTGCTCCAGACCAAAGTGCAACCACTGAGTGTGGTGGGGTTGCATTTTACCTAATAGACTGAGGTGGAAAAGTGGGGCATGCGGAGGACCAGAGCACTCACCGGGATTGTGGGAGATCTGGATGAAAATCCCCTCTCTGAATCAGAACAGGGATTTGAACAAGCCAAGTGAGTGCCTTGCCTCCTGAGTGGTAAAGCCCAGAGAATACCTAACATATATGTGTGACATGGATGAGCTTCAGGAAGGGAACTTGAGAGACACCCACCCTCTGTAGTTCAGTGATTACAGTGTCCTCCTAGGAAGCAGGAAATCTGCGTTCAAGTCATTGCTGGAAGACAGGGGACCCAACTCTGTTTCCTGCAGACAGGCAAGTGCTCTAACTACTGAGCCGTTGGCTGCAACAACCACTCTCCCACCATTGTTTTGTGTAACTGGTGCCTGTGTCAGACCAGTCCCACCCCCAGAAGAGCATTTCAGGGTATGAATCCTGAGAAAAGATGGGAGCATGACCCTCTTTGAAGGACAGCATGTGGGAACCATTGCTCTTCTTGGCATCTTCTCTGGTTAGCTTAGGTGGCTCCCAGCTTGGTGTGCTGCCTGTGCTCTCAGATGCTATAAGGGACCGTACGGTTTCTCACTTGGGGCTGCAAATCCCACTAAGCCACAGCATGCCTCAAAGCTTAGTGTTGCCTAAATTCTGTGAATCATAGAAAAATAAGGCTAGGAGGGACCCCCTGCTTAAGGCCACATCACTGCATCTAAACTACCCCAGTAGATATTTGTCTAATCCACAGCTAACTGCGTCCAGTGATAAATATTCCACAGTCTTTAGCCCCATACACCCCCATCCCCCTCCCTCATAACCTTCTTGATGTTATGAGGGAGGGGGCACTTTATATACAGAGCAACCTGTGTATAAAGTGCCTACACTGCTCTTTCCGTGCGGCTATCTAATCTTGCTTTGAATACCTCCTAGCAACAGCAATATTTGTGCCCAACATAATAGTAAACACAACAGATGGAGCAAGATAGATTCAGTGCCAGGATATCTGAAAGACGGGGCTCGGTTTACCCAGTTAGTTTGATTTGGAATGACTTCACGAGCAGAACAAGGCATCAGATGTCTTCATCTTCCATCCGAGTTGCATATCATTATCTGTATTCGGCTGGGTGTCTCTTTTGCATGAGCCAGCTAGGATTTCCAACCCCAAAATGGACAATCTTGTGTATTTAATGCAACCCCTTCCTCCCCTTAGGAAAAATAAAAAAAACCTAACCCTAAACCCCAGAATTTTTGCTGAGTTGCTACTTGCCAAACTCTTGGACTTGTAAGTCTTCATGCTGGTTGGTTGGTCTGTGTTTTGAAGTGAAGTGTTTGAAAAGACCTACAGCTTGGACCTGTTACCTTTTTACACTTGTAAGTCCAAACAGATTTAAAAATACAGTTCTTGAACAAACTGATGTCGGATTTATTTCTGCTTTGTTTTAGCTGTATATAGCAGGCCTTGGCTCTAGCTCCATGTGTGAGAGTCTGAGCACAGTGAACAAAATGTTAGCTGTTGCTGTTTAAAGTTAAGCCTCTGAACAAAGGTATTCAGGAATTTAAGGGCTGACTGCTGTTCAGCAAAATACTAAACTTACCATTAACAATTATGTAGTCCCCTACTTGCAACACAGTGGAAGCACTTGAGCTGCATCTGTGAACTTGTGCCCAGCACATCAGTTTAAGACTATGGTGTGTCCATGCCAGATTTATACCCCACAGCTCTAATTGTTCCCAAGAGCGAGAGGATTTTCATCATGGAGCAGTTTGACCCTAGTACTTTAACACATGAGTGGCCAGATTATAGTTTACACCTATTATCTAAACCAATTTTGAGAGCTGGTATTATATGTCTTGATACACTTCTTAAAAAAAAACAGGAAGTCTTAAGAGGAAACTCCTATTATCTTAACTGGGACTGACTTTTGTATAAGTGCCTGTCACTTATAAGCCAATGCTACTAGTTAATAGGGCTGTGCGAAACAGCACCATTCCGTTTCACGTTGAGTTTTGAGGTTGAGGGAACAGTGTTTCGTATCGAATTTAATTTCAATTCAAAACAGCTGTTCCGTTTTGTTTCATTGAAACAGCCAGGCTGTTTTAACTCCATTTCAATGTTTTGATCAGCCAGGTGGGCTGATTTCCCACCCCTGGTGCAAGATCAGGCTGGGGACAGGAAGTCAGCCCAGCTGGGCTGATTTCCCATCCCCGGCAAAGCTAAAATATTAGTCCAAGTATATTTATTTTGACACAAGACCTCATTATAGTTCTAGGTCCTCCAGGAGAGCAGTAGAAAACAACCCCTTGCTTATGATAGTGGCTGAAGTCATTTAGCACCTACGGCCCAAAAATGGGCTCCCCAGATAGTAACTGGTAGGGCTGTGCAAAATTTCACCAGCCATTTCATCTTGACACTATTTCAACTCATTTTGAAGTTGAAACAGCACCATTGAAGTGAAATGAAGGGCTTTGAAACTGCCTTTAAACAAAACGAGGCTAGTCAAAACGTTTTGACTTTTGACATGTTTCGACCATAGCGCTGGTGATGGGAAGTCAGTCCAGCTGGACTGACTTCCCGTCCCTGCACAAGATCAGGCTGGGCTGACTCTCCGCCCTGACCTGATCTAGCACCGGGGATGGGAAGTCAGTCCAGCTGGGCCAACTTCCCGTCCCCAACCCAATCTTGCGCAGGGACGGGAATTTAGCCTAGCCGGGCTGACTTCCTGGCCCCAGCCCTATCTTGTGCCGGGGGTGAGAAGTCAGCTCAGCTGCACTGACTTCCCATCCTCAGCACTATGGTTTAAACGTTTTGACTTTCAAAACGTTTTGACTAGCCTCATTTGTTTCAAAGCTGTTTCAAAGCCCTTTGTTTCATTTCGATTTTGCTGTTTCATCCTCAAAATGAGTTGAAATGAAATGGCCAGCAAAATTTCGCACAACCCTTCTAGTTACTATCTGGGGAGCCCATTTTTGGGACCTGGGTGCTAAATGGCTTCAGCCTCTATTATGAGCAAGGGAGCAAGGGGTTGTTTTCTACAGCTCTCCTGGAGGATCTAGAACTATAACAAGGTCTTGTGTCAAAATAAGTATACTTAGACCAATATTTTGGCTTTGCCTGCTATTCCAGAGTTGCCATAGGTTTCCTTGGCTGTGTATTTGGATCTCTCTTTGTCCACTTGGTCTTAGAGCATCTCTTATTGCTGCACCTAGAGTAGAGTGTAATTGATAACTCCCTGCCCTGCAAATCTGGGAACCAGCTCCATCGCCCAGATTCTTGAATGGCTCGGCATGGCCCTAAACCTCACTGGACATGGGAGCAGCCTAGGGGCTCTCTGTAAATTAGAGCAGCTTACTCACTCCATTGCCCATGTTGTTTCCTTTAAGTGCTCTTGGCTACATGCATGTTTAATTTGGGACTGTTTATTTTCAGCTTCTTCATGCTATCAGGCTTGTGTCCATAAAGTAACAAAGTCATCATCTTGTCTGCTTGAAGAAGCTACTTATGGCTTCCAAGAGCTGCTGTTGCAGACTGTCGGATCAGGTGCAGCTGATTGTGTTTCCAGACTGTTAGAGAGAGAAACGCTGGTCCCAACTCCGATCGCATTCGCTCTCTCCCAGTGGAGCTCCTTGGGGGAGAAGAAAGTGCCGTGGTCAGTGTTGTCATGTGCATGATGAGAATCAGGTTCAGGCCCCGAGTCTCAGTCATTGTCTGTTCAAGAGCACCCATCCTGCTTTCATGCTAGATATGCTGCAGTAATGGACAGAGGTTACCCTGGTCATCCCCAAGCTTTTGGGGAGAAAGTGAAAGGTGAATGCAGGCATGACCTTGATAGCAAGGCAGGGACTGAAACCCAGGGCTCCTGACTCCCCAGTCTCTGCCACAGCACCCTGCATTTTTTGCAAAGCTGAGCCCTTTGTTCTCAAAAGCTGATGCTGCAGTTCACTTCACCTTCTCTTGCTTATGTTATTAAGCTTAAAACTTCCACTATTTGTGATTCAGGCTATGGTAATTTATAATCACAAAAACAGCTGAATTCATCCTTCTGCTGTATGTCTTGTCATTAAAAGCACTCTAACTTTTAGCTAATTGGCAGGGGTTACATGCGGGCTTCGGAAAAGGGTAAATCATTACAGCTTCATGCCTCGGCAGTCAATTATAGATTGTTTTTCTAGCGTGGCCGTGTCGGCAGCCTGCAGCGCTGCAGCGAACACAAAAGGGGTAAGCAGTCTTTAACCAAAACGCCCTGACGTCACTCATCAGCTTAAACCAGGACCCTGGATCTCGATGTGGAGCTTCAGCTCTGGGAGAGGCCAGACGTAGATACAAGTCTGACTCTGAAATGGATAATGTGAGCCTGGGTCTAAAGGGGTTATGGTGCAGCAGGTCTGCTTTGCTCCAGTCTGCGGACACAAAGAAAAATCCTCAGGTAGCATGAAGCTTTCTTCTACCCCCTTCTCCCAGTGCACAGGAGGCCAGACTAGACATCCTGCCTGACACCCCAGCAAGCCTCAGTTTCCAGGACAGCCCTGAGGGCTGTTAGCCATCAGTAAGTTAGAGGGATGCGTTAATAGTTTAGGATAGGCTGGGACACAGCCACGTGCAATTTATGCTACAGCTCAGCCAACTATAAGCCACGGACATTGGTATTGTGGAACAGACACGTGTGGATGCCTACACCAGCATTTCCAAAGGTGCTCGTTATTGCCTGTGTAACGAGGCCTGCCCCAGGGGTGGCCGTGACGCCCCCTGGCAGCCACTCAGCCTGTATGTCCCCTGATTCCTTAGAGCCTGCTCCCCTTCTACTCACTTGCCACTCTGGGCTGTAAAAATACGTACTTAGAAAAGGGAGGCTGCCCCCAGGGATCCCTGAGCAAGATCTCATCCGCTCATGAGCTATGATCTAATTGCTCATCGCCTTAAGGGCTAGTTTTGTGGCCCTTCTAGCCAAGCCCAAGCCTCACAGATGTTACCAATCAACCAATTCATGCCCTACTCCTGGGCTCAGTCAATTCAATGGGCTCTCGGCCTCCAGTCTGCTATCGCTCTGTAGCCCTGTCTCAAGTCCTGCTGCTGCCCTGCCCCTGGGCTCTGACCTTACCTTCAGGCCTCTCACACTTTCTCTGTCTTGTTTCTCGGCTCTGGCCCTGCTGGGACTTTTGTTCCCCTTAGTCCCTACCTAAACCACCAGTGTTCTCCGGGCAAATCCACTTGCCTGGCCTGCGCCTGGGCTCAAGTGTATCCCCGGTATGAGTCAAGAGCTCCTCTGCAACTCCCTTTCTCAGGAGCTCTTCCTCCTATGGCCTCCAGGGCTGCACTGCCTGCCTCAGCTCAGGCCCTGGGCTTATATACTCTCTAAGTCTAGCCCTCTTCCAGCCAGGTGCCTCTTCCCTTGAGTGCCACCTGAGCCCTGTCTGCAGCCTTTCTCCTCTGGAAGTAACAGGAGCACTAAGCTCCCCACTACACCACTTAATTGATCATTCATCTGCAACAGAACCAGGATTTCTGGTCTAGACAGCACCAATGTCAATGCAGAATACACAGCAACAGAATAACTCACGCTCGATGGGACAGTGGTGCTCTTAGCCAGACGTACGGGGTGTCTTCACAGCTGCAAAAGTGAAACCAAAGCTGGACTTCTTGTTCTGTGCCCTGTGTGCGTAGATGTGGGGTTCACATGAAGTAGGAATTTGCCTTCTTCGCGGTACACAAAGCAGGCATCTACGGAGCACATCCAGGGATGGCACTGCGTACCATTCAAGTGCTGTGTTTGTGAACCCGCCACCTGTTACCGCAGCGCGGATTGTGCAAGCATCATGGAACAGAGCAAAAGTGAGTCGAGCTGAGCTCTGCTAGGGACAGAGGGATTGAAGCTTTGGCTGCACAGGGAACACGGACTCTTTGAAGCCACAGGCTACACATATTCCAACTGCATTGCATTATGGTGCAGGATAGAAATGGGGCTATCCTCACACAAGCTGAGGCCCCCCATGGGTCTGTGCTAAGGCCTGTACTGTTTAACACAGTCATAAACAATTTGGGAAGAGGGGTGAGTGGTGAAATGCTCAAGCTTGTGGGCGACATGAAACTATTAGTGCAGTGAAAACTAAAGTTGACTGTGAAGAGGTGAGGAGGGGTCTCATGGTGAGCAAATGGAGAACAAAATGGCAGAAGAAGTCCAGTGTTGATAAGTGCAATGGGATGCACATAGGAAAAAATAACCTGAGATACCTGTGCACAATGCTGTGCTCTACCATATCTGTTACTACTCAAAAAGGAAAGAGGTTGATAATTTAACCAGGTTCAGATGGGAGATTGGACAAATCTATGCAGGATAGGTCTATCATTGAGGATGAACCAGTACAGGTATGGATACAACCTCCATCTTAGGGATTCCCCAGGCTCTGAATGTGGGAAAATATAGAGGAGACGGGTGGGAGGCAGATGAGTCTGGATCGGTCCTGGACAAACACCCTTTCCCTTAGCCTTCCCTCTCTGCCACTGTGGGAAGCAGGCTACCGAGCTAGATGGACCTGTCCTAGAAAGACACGTCTTATGTTCTCGAACTTAGAATACCCTGCGGTTTGCCCCAGAGAGAACAGCAGCAACGGAGAAAGGGGGGGAAGCAGGTCAGTACAGCACTCTTTCTTCTGCACCAGAGCTGTGTCAATGGTACCACGTGGAACAGGAGCAAATTGGATGCATCGTGTGGGAACAAGATCTTGGACACAGCACCATGCAGTGGGTTATTGTTCTATGGAGGGTCACTGTCATGAGTTAGCATTTCCATCACTTCTCCATAACAAGCGAAGAAAGGAATGATTTCTTTCCATTTCAGGGTCTTGGAGCATAATCAGGCCTCAGCCACAGTCCATGTTGTCCTGCTCTCCCAACGCAGCTACCATTTCTCAGTTCAGTTCAGGAAGGTCCCTGAGACAGCACAGCTTACAATAACTTTTCACCAGGCTAGTTATGGAGATGGAAAGCCCTCACTGGCTGGAAAGCAACTGCAGTCCTGGGATCTTCTGCTTTAATGAATCTTGAGCCCTCTTGTAGGTGACTATAGAAGAAAAATAAGACCTTGGCTGAGGGCTCATGCTTGCAACCATTTTCCAGCCTCAGAGGATCTTAGATCTTCCTCCCAAGCTCAGGATGGATCCACAGCACAGTGTTTGAAACAGTTTATAAGTAACTCCATGCTCCATAACAGAGACCAAGACTGAAGCAGCGCAGTCCACTGACTTTGCCCAAGAGAAGGGTCTCTTTTTTCACGGTCTACAAGAGCCTACCCGGTGAAGAGATTTCTGATGGCAGACGGCACTGTGACCTAGCGGAAAAAAAGATATGGCAGGAGCCAAGAGATGAAATCAAAATGGTGTAATTAAGATCAGGACTAAAGGAGACAGTTTCGACAGTGAGAATGATCAGCCCTTGGAACGAACAACTTCCTCGGAGCATGGGGGACATTGCGTCGTCTGAAGTCTTTCAAAAACTAGGCTAGTGTTTTTCTAAAAAATGTGCCGTCGTTCACGCAGCTGCTTCTGAGTTAGATGTGGTTGTCACTTGGTGAAAATCGCTGGCCCGTGGGATGCAGATAGTCAGACGAGATGATCAGAACGGCTTTAAAACTGATGAAAAGCCACTGCTTCCAAGCACATGCCTTACAGAGAGGATAAACAGTCAAAGCAAACATCTTGTCTTCGCCAGACAGCTGGACCATTGCGCTGTCAGCTTCTCCGAGCGGTTTTCCTGCTCCCCGCGCCTGCTCCAGGCTGAGTTTCAGGAAGGCTCACAAGCAATTAGAAACATTCAGAGGAAAGCAGAATACTACATTTTGTCCTTTTTGTCAATAAAATGTTCCACTTTTGTTGTTGAATTCTCCTCCGTTTTGTTTCGTCGAATGTTAGTGGTCAACATCCAAATGAAACGTTTTGTTTCTGATAACACAAAATGTTTCGTTTGACCTGCAGAGGAGGTTTTTTCAGCTGCTACCGAAGCCAACATTTTTGAGGAGTTTTTATTACAGGACAGCCTGAATTTATTTTTTCAATGTTTGGAACTCCTAGACAACCAAAAAAGCAAAAATATAAGCTTTCCTTTAAGGCTTAATTAGTAAAGAAATGGCTCTACATATGTGCCAAGGATTATGAATTATTCTGATGTATATTACCTCACACCTAGAAATGAGAATGTAAGCCAGAAAATCCATTGCAGGGAAATCATATTGTACAATTAATTTTAAACACGGCTAATGAGTTATTGTGCTTGGCCAGTTGGTATCGACTGATTTCAAAAGTAATTAACAACCCTGGCATAAGAAAGAAAAATATTACCTTTCACCCCTACCAAAAGGTGTTTTTTCAAGAATAATCAATACTCACCCAGCTAAGTCCCATTGTACTGATAGATAGTTATTATTTGTATTTATTATTCATACTGCACTAGAGGTATATAGGCACATTACAGGCAAGTGCATTTTTAATTAAAAAGCAATAAAATTCCCAGTTGATTTATGAACTGTAATAAAACATGAGACAAAGTGGAAACACTTGCAACTCTAACAGGGAATGCACTGGTGAAAATACCTCTCATCCTTGTGGGCTGCGGGGAGAAAATATCACAGCTGTGAGCTGCGAATATAAGTCTTGAAAGGGAAAGACGGGGAACGGACCGTGACCTCAAGACAACGCTTCCTAGCATTTTTGGCTCCCAAGGCTGTATTTAGGCTTCTGAATATTAGCTGGCTTGATGTGTAGAAATGCCAGGCATTTCCAGAGGCATTCAACACTTTGCGAACTAGATCACTTTGGTATAATCACCCAAACATTTCTAAGCAAGTCATAATTCTGGGTCTCACGTCAGACGGGTTCCTCAACCAATTAGTGAGCTAACACCCAGACTGGTCTGCATCCTCTTGTGCTCTGGGGTAAGTGGGGTTTTTGGTTTGGTGTGTATATATATATTTTTTGGCAGGCATTCCTGTTTTAAATGCCTCTATTTTGGGAGGAGTATTGCACAGAGATTGAAGAAATCTCTGCTTCTTGGGAATTTTTTCTTTTAATGAGATTTCAAAAGCAACTCCCCCTTTCTCCCTGCAGCATAGTGGTGGTGGTTGGGTTTTTTTTTAATCAGATGTTATCTGATGGTTTAAGGTTGTGTTTTTTTTTAAGTGCATTATTTATTTAAGATGTTTTGGCTGAATATTCTAGCTGTAAAGAAGATATTGCCTAAGGAAGAAGGAAGAACACAATACACAAAACAGTTGACTGCACAGCAAGGAAATATATAAAACAATAAACAGGCAGGAGGAGCTGTAAAATGTTGCCACATAATTTCCTCCTTGTGCTTCAATGTTGTGAGATTAAAGTGTTGTTTTTTAAGGGAGGGTTGATGGACAGGACGCCACTTAGTCATGAGTTACAGTCCAGCCATTTCGCCCTTGTCTGCTCTTGACCTATTTGATGCTGGTTTTTTTCTCTCTAAAGCTCCAGATCCTGGAGTCACGTGGTAAGTCAATCTTAATTGCCCCTTTCTTTTCAAATGTAAGTTTGCAGCTTTCAGCTTTGTAAATTAGACGCTTGAAAACATGAATGTTCATAGGACCATAGGAAAATAGGGCGGAAAGGGGTCTCAGGAGGTCGTACAGTCCAGCCCACTGCCCAAGGCGGGATCAGCCCTGAGTAAACCACCGCAGTCAAGTGTCTGTCTCAATTGCTCTTGAAAATGTCCAGGGATCGAGACTCCACAGCTTCCCTAGGTTGCCTGTCCCAATGCCCGACCACCCCCATAGTCAGGGCGTTCCTCCTAATCTCCTACCTAAATTTCCCCTGCTGAAGCTTGAGGCCACAGCCACAGAGAAAAGCCCATGTCCAGTCTCTCTGTAATCGTCCTTCAGGTAGATGAAGACCGTTATCAAACCCCCCCTCAGTCTTCTCTTCTTCAGACTAGATAACCCTAGTTCTTTCAGCCTTTCCTCACAAGTCTCGTTTCCCAGGCCCCTAATCATCCTTGTCACTATGTGCTGGACTCTTTCCAACTCATTCACACCTTTTTTGAACTGTGGGGCCCAAAACTGGAAAAAATATTCCCAGCAAAGCCTCACCAGTGGCAAACAGAGTGGAAGAATCGCTTCCCTTGATTTGCAAGTGGCACTCCTGTTAATAAAACCCAGCAGGTGTTGGCTTCTCTTTTTTTTTTGGCAACAGGAGTATACTGTTGGCTCACATTCAGTTTATGGTCCACTGTAACACCCAGATCCTACTCCGCAGTCAGCCTAGCCAATTATTCCCCTGTCTGTATTAGTGTGTGCAATTTTCCATTCTAAGTGCAGGGCTTTGCACTTTTCCTTGCTGAATGTCATTGGATTGATTTCAAAACATTTGTCCAGTTTATCCAGGTCATTCTGGATCGTAGCTCCACTCTCCAGAATCCCTGTAACTCCACCCAACTTGGTGTCATCTGCAACTTTGCTAAGCATGCACTCAGTCTCATCATCCAAAGTAGACACTAAACAATTCTAGACCCAGGACAAATCCCTGAGGAATCCCACTTCACGCCTCCTCCCAACTAGACATTGAGCCATTGGTGACTACTTATTGAGCATAATGATCCAACTAATAATTTATCCAAATCCATTGCTCTCCCCAACCCATAGAGCCTATCATGTTACGATATAAGAAAATCAAGTTGGTTAGGTATAATTTGCTTTTGGTGTATCCATGCAGGCAGTTCCTGATCACCCTTTCTGTCCCACATGCTTTAAATAGATTTCTTGAAGACCTGCTCCATGATCTTTCCAGGTATCAAGGTCAAACTGACTGGTCTGTAATTCCTAGGTTCTCCTTCTTCCCTTTCTTAAAGATGAGCACTATATTTGTCCTTTTCCAGTCACCTGTGGGTGACCGTACCCAACTTCTAGGCCTTCTCAATACAGATAGCCAATGATTCTGAAATTACCCCAGCCAATTCCTTCAGTACCGTATGGTGCATCCCATCCAGCCCTGCAGACTTGAAGCATTTAGCTTCTCTAAGTAACCCCTAACCTGTTCTGCCACTACTTTTGGCTGCTTTTCTCCTTCCTTATTTTTGCTGCCAACTGCATTTGGTATCTGGTAGCTGCCTTTAGCTGTGAGGACTGAAGTACAAAAGGCATTAAAAACTTTAGCTGTCTCTGGATCCCCCGTAACTAGATTGCCTTCCACATGCTGTAATGGGTCCATGGTTTCTCTGGTCATCTTCTTACTTTTGACATACTTGTAGAATCCCTTCCCACTGCCTTTTATGTCCTTGCCAGCTGCATCTCCAATTGTGTCTTAAACTTCCTAATTTTCTCCCTCGGTGCCAGTGGAAGACTGTTATACTCTTCCCTAGCACTATGACCAAGTTTCCACTTCTTAAAGGAGTCCTTTGTGAGTTTGAGCTCATTGAAGAGTTTGCTGTCTAGCTCGGCTGGCTTCCTGTTGTACTCCCCATGCTTCTGTTGCATTGGGAGACCTTGTTCCTGCACGCTTAAGAGGGCCTCCTTGAAGTACAGCCAAACTTTCTATAACTGAAAAGTTCAGAAAAAAAGTCCATTCGGGAAGCTTGAAATGAACATTTTCAACTGTTTTGTTATAAGGTTTTGGATGTGGACACTCAGGAATGGGATTGAAACGTCCTCAAACCAAACTGGACATCATGCATTTTTCAGTTCCTAAAAACTGAATCCAAACACAGGAGGTTGAAGTGTTTCCCTTGAGAACATTTTGTTAAAACCAACATGTCCTCACAGATTACTTTTATTTTTAATTTCACCAAGATCCTATTTTCTGACAACCAAAGTTTTACTTGAAAATGAAATTTTAGCCAGTTCTGGTTTTAACTGAAGGTGCATGCAGATGCTGGTAGAGCTGTACACCTGTTGACCCCCATCTCTCAGCCTACCTTAGTTTTTGTGTAATGTTTGAAAGCCTCATGGTCTTCAAGGGTTTTACTCACAACCCCCCTGTGCACAACGGAAGTACAATATCCATTTTACACCTGGGGACCTGAGGAACAGTGTCAATTAAGTGTCTTGCCCAAGGGCAGGCTAGAAATCTGTGGCTGAGTTAAAGGATCAAATTAATATTTCCCAACTCTCAGCCATGGGCCTTGATCATAAGACCTTCCTGTTCACACTCTTGGATACCAGTAAAACCACATTCTGCCATTGACTCCCTTGATAT